AAAGTAGCCATAGCAATTCTAATATCTGACAAAACAGACTTTAAACTAAAACTAATCAGAAGAGACAAAGAGGGCCACTTCATTCTGATCAAAGGAACAATAAATCAAGAAGATATTACAATCATGGACATATATTCATGCACCCAACTCTGGTGTACCGAACTTCATAAAAACAATATTACAGGACTTTAACACCCAGATTAATCCCAACTCATTAATAGTAGGGGACTTCAATACCCCACTGTCTCCATTAGATAGGTCAACAGGGCAGACAGTTACAGAGAGACATCTGAATTATACAATAACATATAGCAAATGAACTTAACAGACACCTACCGAGTATTCTACCCAAGCACCAAAGGACATATGTTCTACTCAGCACCCCATGGACCCTTCTCCAAAATCGACCATACACTGGGGTACGAAACAAACCTCAACAAATACAAAAAGGTTGAAATAATTCCATGCATTCTATCAGACCACACTTACAATCAACACCCGAAGAAGCCAAAATCACCACACGAACACATGGAGATTAAACAACACACTCCTGAATGATGAATGGGTCAAAAGAGAAATTAAGAAAGAAATAAAAGTATTCCTGGAATTAAATGAAAAGGACAATACAACACAACAAAACCTCTGGGACATGCTGAAAGTGGTTCTTAGAGGGAAATTTATAGCTCTAAGTGCCTACATCAAAAAATCGGAAAGAACACAAATAAATGACTTAACAGTGCAACTCAACACACTTGAAAAGCAACAGCAAACAAAACCCAAACCCTGCAGACAAGAAGAAATAACAAAAATCAGGGCAGAAATCAATGAAATTGAATCAAAGAAAACAATACAAAGAATCAACAATACCAAGAGCTGGTTCTTTGAAAAGATAAACAAAATTGACCGACCGCTAGCCCAATTAACCAAAAGAAGGAAAGAGCACCTCCAAATTACAAAATCAGTGATGAAAGGGGAAACATCACAACAGACACCAGAAAGATACTGAACATTAAAAGGGAGCACTCTAAAAAAAGGATATGCTATTAAATTTGAAAACCTAAAAAAATGGACGGATATCTAAAGGGAACCACCAAAACTAAGCCAAGAGGAGATTAACAGCTTAAACAGACCCATAACACAAAAAGAAATTGAAACAGTAATACAAAACCTCCCGACTAAAAAGAGCCTAGGACCAGCTAGATTTACAGCAGAATTCTATCAGACATTTAAAGAAGATCTACATCCAATACTACTTAATTTATTCATAAAGATAGAAACAGAGGGAGAACTTCCAAATTCCTTCTATGAAGCCAGCATCTCTCTAATACCAAAGCCAGGTAAAGATACAACCAAAAAAGAAAACTATAGACCCATATCCTTAATGAACATAGATGCAAAAATTCTCAACAAGATGCTTGCAAACCACATACAGACACACATCAAAAAGATCATCCACCTTGATCAAGTTGGCTTTATCCCAGAGACGCAGGGATGGTTCAATAAACATAAGTCAATAAATGTCATACAACCATATAAATGAGCTCAAAGACAAGAACCACATGATCATCTCAATAGATACAGAGAAGGCTTTGACAAAACCCAACATGCATTTATGTTCAAAGTCGCAGAGGGAACTGGACTGGAGGGTACATGCCTCAACATAATTAAAGCCATATATAACAAACCCACAGCCAACATCATTCTAAATGGAGAAAAAATGGAAGCATTCCCATTGAAATCAGGAACCAGACAAGGCTGTCCACTATCTCCTCTTTTCTTCAACATAGTGCTTGAAACCCTTGTAAGAGCAATAAGACAACAGCAGGAAATTAAAGGAGTAATAATTGGAAAAGAGATCAAATTATCCCTTTGTGCAGATGATATGATAGTATATCTATGAGATGCCAAAAATTCAACCAGAAAACTCCTAGAAATTATTAACATGTTCAGTAAAGTGGCAGTTACAAAATTAACCTACAAAGTCTGTAGCCTTTC